CTCGGCGAGCTTGTCCAGCGCTCCGGAGCTCACGACCTCGATGGGGCCGTGCAGGCCGTACTTGCAGTTGCTGATCCACGCGGCGCCTGCCCACGAGCCGAGCGGCAGAGCCCTTGGCGCGGCGACCAGGGCTCGAGGCTCGAGGCTTCTGGAAGTCTCGTCGGTCTCCGGGCCTCCAGAGGCCAGCCAACAGGCTCCAGGGGGAGACCTCCGGAGAGAGGGGAGGTTTTACCAGGTGCGCGGTCTGATCAGAAGTCCGAGGCGATGCGTGCACAGCCGGCATGTGGACCCAGTGGCCCTTCCCCTCTCAGAACCCTGCTGCGGCGAGCAAGCGACTTGGGCATTCAGAGTACGAGCCAGTCTACGGCTGGTGACACGGCGTCAGCCCAAGCACAAAGACCCGGGCCAGCAGCTGGGCGAGGTCTTCAATGAACGTCGAGCCAGTCATGCGCGTAACAATCCGCCAGCGTGCCGCGAGGCACTGATCAGAATGTCCTCAGGTCAGGTCCCTTTCGATATCTCTGCATCGAATATTGCAACTTCCATTGTCATGCCTAGACCACCACACTACGCCGTTCTCGACCGCTCTCAGGGCTTGTAGCGTGACTTTTCGCCTCGAAGGCGTGGGCGGGTCTACGCCTCTCCCCGTGACCCAAAAGGGAGTCAAGGTGAGAGGGGATGGTGAAACAGATTTGGGGCAACTGTACTGGAAATGTATTGCGACAGAGAAATCGATTGCATTGTGTTGCAGCGAATGCATTGCACGCGAAAATCCAGCAATACATTTGCGCACTGGACTGTTTTGCGCACCCCGAACCTACTGCAATTCCATAAATCCATTGCGCCAAATCTATTGCACCACCCCATTTTTGCTGAACCCCCTTTTGGGTCAATCGGATTTTCCCACGTGCCCAAAGTTTTCCCGAAGGAGCCGTCCTGTGGCTCTCTTGGAGGCCTCTAGGCAAGTTCTGAAAGCCCTGAGGGGGCGACCCTCGAGGCCAAACTCATTGCACGACCTGGGGCCCTGGTGTGATTCTCACATCCTCACCTGATCGGCCCCACGAGCCACGACAGCCCAAGATGCCCCCCAAGGGGGCCCAGGATGCCCCCCCGGGAGGCCCCCCAGAGGAGCCCAAGAGGGGGAACTCGAACTGCCATTGCTGGAGCTCCCCACCGCAAGTGGGGCAGAGGCCCCCAAGAAGCTGCCACCGGGCCCCCAAGACACCCCAAAGATGCCTCAGGGACCGACCGTCCCGGCATTCAGATAGCCATACCACGAAATGTTCTTAGAACCCGAAGATGTTCTAATAACAGAAACAATGTTCTTAGAACATACGCCCGATGTGTTGCAACAAGACAGTCCCCGCCAGAAATGTTATGAGAACATTTCGTGGGAGCCACACAAGGTTCTCAGAACATTGTCTGGTAGGGCTATAGGCGAGCCAGGACGCTTCGCCACTTCTTGAGGCACGTGTCGCGATACTGCCAAGAACTCCCACGGAGGTCTCGGCCCAGCCCGCCAGCCACCCGCAAAGCCCGGGAACAGTCTGTTCCCCTTGGCCCTGTCTCGTCCAGGACGGCCAAGATGGCTCCAGATGGCCTCCAAGAGGCCTCCAAGACGGGCGAGATGGCCCCAAGAGCGCGCAGGATTGTCCCACGATGGGCTCTTAGACGGTCCAAAGATGCTCCCAGCACCGCCAAGATGGTCCAAGAGAGCCCAAGGCGGCCCACGAAGCGCCAAAGAGGCCCCTGAGACGGCCCACGAGGCATCCAAGAAGTCCCCCAGGAAGGCCCGAAGAGGCCAAAATCATTGACTTTTAAATGGTTGGCGACTTCTGGCATTTGCTTGAAAACTGGCTTCCGACGGCCCACGGCGGCCCAAGAGGCCCCAAAAATTATCCAAGATCTTCCAAGAGGCCTCCAAGATGGCCTCAGCACGGCCTAAGAGGCTCCCAAGACAGCACCCAAAGGGCCCCAAGACGGCCCGGGATGCGGTACCACTTCTTGGGCCCTCGGGAGGGGTTTCGGCGGGGGCCCAGAAGGTCTCGAGGACCTGCCCGGTCCAGCGCAGCCAACGTGTACGTCCTTCAGCAGTACCCTGGGGTCGCCGCCGTGGTGCGTGGCGGGGTCCCACCTGCGCAAACCACCTAGCAACCTTCAGCACGATCCTGCACCCGACGAAATGCTTGCTCGCAAGGATCCTGAGAGCAGGACACCCTGTCTGGGTTTCCTCACGACGCTGGGATGACACCATATCTGGCGAGCTGCAGGTGGGCTGGCCCTGGCTCTGGCTCGGGAGATGTTTGCTGTGGCATTCGGCCTGAGCTTCCGGCCACGCAGAGGCCCTGGAAGAAACGGACAGATCGCATCCAAGATGGCCAAGACGGACCAAGATGGCCCCCAAGCGTCCAACATAGGGCTCGAGCTAAACAGAGTTTGTCGTTTTCGTTTTCGTTATGTTTTCGTTCTTCCCTTGCTGCGAAACGAGATCAAGACGAAAATGGGCCACGAAATCGCCCAAACACTGTTCAGCTCGAACCCTGGTCCAACATGGCCCCAGGATGGCCCAATCCTGGGAAAGCTAGAACGCCGACCAGAGTGTGCACACCGTGCGCCTCAAAGACGGCCAAGATGGCCCGGGATGGCCTCCAGCACGCCCCAAGACGGTCCAAGATGGACTCAGCGATGCCTCCGAGACGGCCGAGATGGCCCGCCGAGATGGCCCCAAGAGGGTCCAGGATGCGATAGCCCTCTTGGGGGTCGTTCGGATCGTCCTGGGGGCCTTCGGGGCGCGCCCAAGCTGTCCACCTAATCTAGAATAACAAAACATGACACGAACATAAACGTTGGACAGTCCGCGCGGATCTCCCAGATCTGCGCTGGACCACCCTCCCTGGCACGCGGAGCGCGCCTGGGGCGGCGCGGGAGGCGGCGCCGGAGGGGGCCCAGCGCGGAACCAACAAAACCGGGCGGAGCGCCAACAGTTTGTGTTTGTGCCGTTTTTCTGTTCTTCGGCAATCGGCTGTTTTTTCCAGTGATGCTTGGATTCCCCCCCTTTTCCAATCTTCCGAGCGTCCAGGACGGCCCCGGAGGCCTCCGGGGACCGGCCTAAGATGGTTCAGCGTGGCCCCACGAGGACTTCCAGATATGGTCCAAGAGAGAACCCATCCTGAGCAGTGTTTTGGGCCGTGTCTTGGGACGTCTTGGCGGTCACATTGGGCCATCTTGGCCGCCCTGGAGACGGGCGCCAAGAGGACATCATTATTTTGCGAAGATGGTCTCCCAAGCGCCGTCGGCCGAACGACCCGCGGCGCGGGATCCTTGGGCAACGCGGTTAGCCGACCCTTCATGAACAGTCTTGAGCCATCTCGGGCCGTCTTGTCGGCCACATTGGGCCATGTTGGCCGCCTTGGAGGCGGGCGTGCAGATCCCCAGCAAGCAGCCTTGGGCTATCTTCTGGGCCGTCTTGGCGGTCACACTGGGCCATCTTGGCCGCCCCCGGAGACGGGCGTGCAGATGATGGTCGGCTCGCGGGCTCTTGTCGGCCCAGGGGCGCCCTACACACAACCCGCACGAGAAGGACGCACGAGAAGGATGCGAGGGGCCTCGGAGGGCCATGCCGACGCTTTGCGAGCGGGGCGCGGCCAGCGGAAGCGCCCCAGGATGGGCCGAAGGGGAAGGATGCCAGGGCAGCCTTGGAAAGTTGCTCATTCCTGCTGCGCGGGTTGACTTAGAGGAAGAAGCAACAGCGCAAACATCAACTGTTGTGGGTGCGCGCGGATTTCTTGGATCCGTGCTGGACCCCCCTCCCTGGCGCGCGGAGCGTTCCAGGGGCGGCGCCAGAGGCGCCGCTGGGGGGGCCCAGCGCGGGTCCAAGAAATCCGATCGGAGCGCCACAAGTTTCTGTTTATGGCATGTTCTCTGCTTCGACAGCTGGGCCCTAAGATGGCCCAAGAAGGCCCAGCGGGTGCGCGGTTTCCCCCGGGGCCGTAGGCGACCCGAGGAGGAGGAGGAGAAGGAGGAGGATGATGAAGAGGTGGAGGAGGGGGAGGGGGAGAAGGAGATGGAGGAGGAGATGGAGGAGGAGATGGAGGAGGAGGAGGAGGAGGAGGAGGAGGAGGAGGGAGGAGGAGGAGGAGGAGGAGGAGGAGGAGGAGAAGGGAGGAGGAGGAGGAGAGAAGGAGGAGGAGAGGTCAAGCAGTACGCGAAGCAGGAGGGGGGAGAGAGGGAGGAGGGGGAGGGGGCTTTGGCTCCGAGTAGTCTGGCGGAGGGGTGCTCGGCGTGCCGAATGTGACATCATTCTGCGGCCGTTCCGGGATGGCCTTCGGCCCGCGTGGCGGGCCACGCGGGAACCTCGGGCAGAATCTGGAACTCGTCTCCAAGACGGCGAAGATGGGCCAAGCTAGCCTTTCAGACGAACCCAAGGCGCCTCTGGGGCGTCCAGCATAGCCGAACCAAGATGGACTCAAGATGGCCTCCAAACCCACTTTCCAGACGACCAAGATATGCCCCCTAAGGGTGTCAAAGACGGCCTCAGAGGCCCCCAGTACCAGCCCGAGGCCCCATAGGGCCCTGGAACATCCCAAATGCACGAGAATAACCCCAACGCATAAAGACGGCCGAAAGGCCCCCCCCCCCACACTCAGTGTTCCCCACATAATTTCCCGACAGCTGGCGGAAGACGCAGTCCCAACAAGCCCACATAGGCACTACCAGGAGGCAAGGGACGGCGGTGATTCGCCAGATGCGCCTTGTCATCTTTGTGCCAGCGGTACCGCCCTGAGCGCGTGCGCAAGGAGTCAGATGGCTTGGTCAGCCTCCTGGTGCCCTGCCTGCAGCTGGACCAGCCTTGGAAGTCTCCCTGGCGAAGGCAGAGAACGGAACATCCCCCTCCCTCCTGGCTGCGCTGACCCCCTCCTCGTCCTCGCCTCGAGCGCCCCGTGGCGCCACGTGGCGGCTCCGGCAGTGCGGCCGGCCGCGGCCGCGTCTCTCCCCCCCCCCCACCCCGCAGACCGCCTCGCAGCAAGGGGGGCCCTCCCGGGCTCTCCTGCCCACGTGGGCCCCCGCCTCCACGGCGCCGGCGGGC